TTTTATCATAGAAATAAGATTCATAAATACGTTAAAATTTGAAAATGTCTGCTATCTTAATTCTTATATTATCTTATAAAATATTTTATGCTTGAATGAGATTAAGTTTGAAGCATTAAAGTTTATTCGACAGCAACGAGTATGATTTTCGCAGAAAGATTAATTAGTGTTTCAGTTCTAAAATGGTTTTCCGCAAAACGAGTTTCTAAATAGAAGATGAGAAATTTTCTTATGCAATTATCAAGAGAAATGGGATACAGAAAATTAATTAATAGTTTAAAAAACAAAATTCGTAATAAATATCTACCAAATATTATAATTAAAAAGATTAAATTATGCATTCATAATTTTTAGCAAAAGTTATTTACACTTTTCAGCAAATAAAAGAAAACAACTTTCTTTCAATAAATAATTACCTGAATAGGAATTTCTTTAACGCTTTGACAATATTTTATATTCAGACGTCTTTAAATGGGATTATACTTCCTTGTTTATTTTTTAATTAAACTGTATGGAACTTTTGTCGACCACATACTTTTTTCCTCATAACTTTTTATGTTAATAATTAATAGTTTTTAAATTGTCAAATTGTTAATGATTTATTCGTAACTGAATAATTAATAAACCAATGCTAATTATTTCTTTAATATATATAATATCTAAATTAATTGTCTGATACATTAAATTGCCTAAAATTATCTAAATTATTTGTCTTATACAGACTAATGCCATATAAAATTCATTACCTTCTAATGAAGCCACTATTATAAGATTAAAAAAAATTATTAAAGATAATACTAATATAGGTATATAATATTTTTTAAAGATTGTAAAAGACTGATATTTATTAATTAGGTAAACATTTATATAGATATGCAGCAAAAAGATTATTTAACTTCGGTTCATATTAGGAAACCTTATAGCTCAAAGGCTTATAAACTGTCATCTCTTCAATTAAAAAAAATTTTTTAACAGAATTTTCGAAAAGATGTTATCATTAAAAATTTTTCGTAGTTAAATTAACAATTCTTTTATAATTTTGTTTTAGGTTTATTTAAAATTGTAGGGTTTAATGATTATGTTTGATATTTCAGAGGAAACAAAAAATTAATAATAAATGAAAAATCGAAATACTTTATAATCTTGCAGAAAAGGAATATTTACAATTTTAATGCTATTTTTATGCTTGAAATTATTAATTTCGAGATAAAATCAGTATTTTGCGTATAAATAAATTAGAATATGGGAAAATTTCCTATTTCTTTTTTTACAAAAACAAAAAAATCGTTTCTGCATTGTGCTGTGATTAGAAACACTAATTGGCACAATTTGTGTTAACCCAGAAATTTCAAAAACATAAATTAATAATTTTCATTCGTCTAAAAAGAAAATAACTAGTTAAAATAATCCTACTTCATTCTTTTTATTATATATGTTTCCGGCAATGCGTGAAAACCGGCATTCTAAAGTATGCCTAGGCATTTTATAGAATGCCGAAAACTGGCTGACAATGCATGAAACGATTAGCATTTCACACATTTCTTAGGCATTCTATAGAATGGCAAATGACAAACCGGTCAAGTATGAAATACACCATCGATTCGTTTTTTGCAGAAATAAATTAAGTTCAATTCCAAATAAAATCATTTCCTTTATTGATGCAACAAGTAGGTTCATGTTTCATTTTGTTTTGTCATAAGAATGGCATAAATTTTGTTCTGTACGACTTTCATTTTTCTTTACGTATTTTGAATAAAAGTTTTTTAACGGCACTCTTTCATTATTTTTTTAAAAATAACATTTGTATTTTTAAAGTATGGACTTTTTTTTCAAAATAATGGTCTTGTCATGACCTTCTTTTCATACTTTGCCTAAATAGCTTTTATCATTCTATAAATGCCTAGGTATTATACATAACGCTTAGGTAAAGTAATATACGTTTCATACATTGCCGGTAATATATATGCTGATACAAAATATATTTTTTGCAAATTACGTTTGTAAAACGTAGGAAAACTGGATGTTATTGAAATGTGAATTATTATAAGTAAAAGAATAAAGCTTCAGATAGAAAAATGATTGAGGAATGCAAAGTTCGTCAGTAAACTCATACGAAGTGTAGATATTACTGATATGTTCCAACCTTTTGATTACATTTTAGGATTCTAATCGAAAGAATATGTTCTTCCAAATGAATACTCGAAAATATAGAAAAGAAGATGAAATGGAAATCTTTTTAGAAAAAAAGTGAGAAAGAATTTTTTCCCCAAAGTTTTTATTCATATTTCAAATCAAACCTATCTTTATATGCAATCATAATTGTTGAAGGAAATGACATTCCGTAGCATGATACAACAAAAAGATTCAAATTCTATGATATAAATTAATTTTCGATACTGTTTATGTGTGAAAAAAGGATACTTCGGGTTTGTAAAAACTAAATATAAATGTATCTTCTTTTTTAGAAAACTAAATTAGTTTTTGCTTCTATTCATATGTGAAATTTCTATTAATGGTAAGAATTATTTTCAGTATTTTAGCTGTTTCTAAAATTTTAGAATTTTTCATTAAATATTTCATGATACACAATGTAAAATCGACTTAAAAAATCTGAAATATCAGATGTCTATAATTATATCACAAAAATAAGTGAAATAAGTGGCACAAAATTTCACAAAAAGGAATCGTCTAAGTCCCAAGGACTAAAAAAAATCAGATTTTTTTTGTATTTCACGAACAAGTTTTACGGATCAAGTTATTTACCACAGCAAAATTCAATCTCCCTCTTTAGAACTCAAGCATCTGCAATGTTCTAAACTAGATTATTTTACTTATATTAAAGCCTCAATTGGAAGGTAGAGGTCAATTTTGAGAAAAAACTTTTTTATTGACACATGGGCCAGCATCACCTTCTTCAATCTTAAACACAAGTCAGCTGAAAGATGTTTGACAACGAAGGATTTAATTTGCACCAGAATAGAACATACGGCGAGTTTTTAATGGAATCGAGTCTAAAGTCCCGGACCTTCCGGTCCCAACGCCTGGACTTTGCCAAGAGAACAAATTGGCCTGAAGTTTGAAACTGGAATCGAAGAGAGATAGCACAGCAACAAAATAGTTACAAGTAAAAAAATCGCTAAATGAGTATTATTAATCCGCATTTACTAAAATTAGGTAAGAATCTGGAATTTATTAAAATAAATTGCGCCAGTAAATCCATGAGAAACTTTCACCCACTTAACCTTCCCCCGTAATGATTCAGCCATACCATAACTTACAATTATTTGCCTTACCATTTAGCATCTCTCACCACGAGTACGTGGATGAGAAGTCGCCGAGTAAGTAAGGGGATTCTCGGTCCTGGAAGTGGGTACAGTAATGGGTTGTTTGAGTCCCATCCTTCAGAGATAATACGTAACTCCTTTGGGAGAGGTCGGGCCTTGGCCGGTGATGGTTATTAGGACTCCGGCCTCAGTACTCGAGCTATTGCAGCAACTGCTATTCAGATTTCTGTGGCAGGACGGGGTGACTGATTCTGATTATCATTTCTGATTATCATTTTACATTCATGACGACACAATATCGAGAGAGTTTTAAATTTTCTTTTAACTTAAATTTTAAACATTGTGCTTCAACTTAAACTGAGTTTATGCTGTGTCAGAAGTCAGTAAAATCCTATAAACAAGATACCATATTCATTGCTGTAGGTTTTGTGTTAGTTGAGGAAAAGGTATGATGACAACAGAACAGAGCACCGCTTCATGCCCTTGCGACTATAACCTTTTGGTTATTTAAACAGTGTGGCGCACATGAAGCGGAAGAGACATCTGAAGACGCTCCTTAATTGTCTAGCAAATAATGGCGGAGGCAGAGGGAAGGAAAAGGTTACAAAAATATAAATATAAAATTCAGGGTTAATACAAGAAACATAGAGGAGTATCATATAACTATATAAAAACTATCATATAACTATGTTACCGTGAAAGACCGAAATTTGGAGAATGTCGACTTTCACCGGTGAATATCAACATTCACATAGTCGCTTGGTGTATGTCCAAAATATTTGCCAAATATCCTTATTTCTCACTTGCACCAGCAAATGTCGACATTCACCATGCACTAATGGTGAATGTTGAATATGTCAGAGGTTTGCATTTTTTTCTCCGTGTTTCAGGAGCGATAAAACGTCACAAGGGTGACGTAACTTTTTCGCCTCTCTTGCTGAGAGGAGTGACCAATCACGGTGAGGAGAGGGGTTTTAACTTCGGGACTAACCCCGGAGAATTTAAATGCCGTGGTAGATTCAAAGGGCGGCCCGGGATTTGTTTTTTTGGACATGTAGCTTTAGATTCTAGCGAGAGAAGAAGAAGGGATGCTCGATATTACTTGCCTTCTTCATAATGATAGCAGTTGTACTTGGATAAATGTTAAGCATTAAGATTTTAGTTTTAAGTTTAGCCAATAAAGAACTTTGCATTTATACCGTATATGTCAAAATAGGAAAAAGCTTAGGTAACAGCACACGTAAATAAACTGTTGAACTTAAAACAAACAGTACATTCTAATTGAGAAAAGAAAATAATACCAATAAAAAACTTACTTAATTATGTGACTGAAATCTTATTTATTGCAACAACTGGCTTCTCTTTTCGACCTCCACCAGAGCATATCTGTGCTTGTCGACATACACCGGTGATGGTCCGAATGCACAAGAATATAATCAAATATTCGGTCTTTCACCGACGTATTTGGTATGTGTCGACTTTCACCAGTGAAAGTCGACATTCTCCAATTTCGGTCTTTCACAGTAACAACTATACACAAACTATCATATAACTATATATAACTATATACAAACTGTCATATAACTATATACAATCAAAAACAGTAAAAATTAAGTAAAATTTCAAAAAATGGGCATGAAATGCACAAAAACAGCAAAAAAGATAGAAAAACTCTAATCAAACAAAGAAAAGACACCAAAAACAAACTAAAATAATCGCCCAACGTGGGACTCGAACCCACGAGCCCGCGATTAAGAGTCTCGTGCTGTACCGACTGAGCTAGCCGGACTAATAAGACAACAGAAAAAGTATCTAAGATTTTCAGTTTATTTGAACTAAGAAAAAAAACCCCTACCAGCAACTTATTTTCTGTACAAGAGAAAAAGTCCTCCAGGTTTAAAGGAATCTTAAGTCTTCTGGTGTTCGCTTATTTAATAACATTCGAAAAAATGAGGTCGTCCAGTGTGGGTAAACAAAACAGCCTGGAGGGAAACCTACTTTTTTACAAAGTAAACGCCGAGTACATTATTAGTTTAAGGGAAGTAACGTTTTTTTCGGAATTTTAAACACACTTATTTCATTTCTCCAGACATTGCTTCAAAATGTAATCTTCTATGAGTTTAATCATCATATGAAGAACAACCGAGTTGAGCTTTAATTCCAAGAAGAATTTTTTAATTAAGTTCTGTGAAGCAATTTGCGAGAAGACTTCTTTTCCAAGCTACGAGTATTCACCTCGTCATCTTGGCCCGACAGAAATAGTCTGGTAGAAAATCACCTGTACCTAGCAACTAATTTTTGGTGTCTTCATTTTTTTTTATCAATTTCTGCTTTATTTCTTTCTTGTTACGTTACACAATTGTGGATGCGGTTAAGAAAAAAAATGTTGCAAATATGTCTTGAATAAAATAAATTGCTATCGATAAATCCAGACATTTGTTTTTCCTTCAGAAAAAAGAGCTGTGAAGATAAAAAGAATTTATTTTATAAAAATGATACTTGATTATACAAAGAACGATAATTAAACATTTCATGGATTAGAATTAAATCTCTGGGTATCTAAAAAGTGTATTGAATAACTGTTACATAAATAATTACTATTATACATCAAAACTCTATTACTTAAATTAACAAATATCAATGTAGAATCTTGTCAGTTTTCGGCTTTTTTCTGATTCTAATTAATTAGTACAATACTTTTTGAGTTGTTGCAATTACAATTTTTTATATTCAAACGATACTTTTTAAAAATAAATAATGGCTCATGTATACAACTGTTCTGCAAATGTTAATCCTCGTTTTAGTGTGGAGCATCATGCATACTTATCACTGCATAGGGAAGTTTGTCAGCGTATGGGTTAATTAAACCTTTCTTCTTGAGCATATTGTGTCAGGTGATGTTTGCCAGAATTTATAACAGGAATGCAGTATGAGATGTTTCAGATGTACATAGATCGGTACTTACAGCAGAATGGAGCTTCTTCTCAATACTATACCGATAGGAAGGATTACCTCTATTTCATTTTGGTGAAGATGTAGTATGGATCAAGAATTTCCATTGAGCTCCTTGCCACTCGCTGAATCTCACCTCCATACATGTCTTGTTGTGAAGATACACGAATAAGAATGTCTATGCCTCAATAACAGCTACAATCAACTTGTTGAGACCAACCATTGGAAAGAATGAACACAAATTCAAACTAATTTACTTAAGCGCGATATAAAAGTTCTTTGGCCATTTTTATTGCAGTGTTGGGATAAAAATTATCAATTCAAACACTTACGATAATTGGCAAAAATCTACTTTTGCAAGAATAATAATTTGATTTCATTTTTTAGAAACAATATAACTTTTGTCAATTACATTGTGCTGGTATAACATTAAATCAGGACATATTTTTGAGCTACTATAGAATTAATAAGTTCTTATAGCTGTCTGAAGCCCCAACAGTACTGAGTAATCAATTGACTAACTTCTTCCAGACATCATAAATAACGTTATAAACAATAGATCAAAAACTTCCTCAGTCTTTATGCCTTGAGACAATAGTCCTGAAATAGGAAGTCGGATGCATTCAGCAACAATGGCCTCTAGTGTTCCATTCAAGTCAACGACTCATGACATTTCATTGAACCATTTATTCAGGTCCTCACGTCAATTCGTTGTTTCTTTCAGGCAATGGGGCTATTGGAATAATTTTCTGAGTTATAAGAAACTATTCTGGCCAAAGGACATGATGGTTTCAAACCATTCTTCCATTTGCTTTCTGTCCTCGTCCGAGACGGGATAACTTCTCACTGACTCTTTTCAGAGCAGCAGTTATTCTACTGAAACAATAGAACGATTTCAATAAGAAATGCCATTTTTCAAGTTGATTGCTATTGTTAAAGTGATATTCATTTGATGATGTAGCAGAATTTAAAGAGGAAATTTAACTGAGAATTTATTTTATATGCCGCATTAAATTTCAATAAAAATAAATCAAAAGAAGAATACTTTTAATAGTTCTTTCTTGAGAAGTGAGAACAGTGAAAATAGAATCAATTGGCCAATCATAATTTTTATTAAATATGATCACAGAAAGAATCAATGTAAGAATAAAAATTGTTATGACATAAAATTTTCCTCACCTTCCAAAATTAAATTGTAGGAGGAATCTATTATTTGATATTTAAGTTTTGACTCTATTTCCTGAAAAAATATAAGTTCCAAACGTAATTTGCTTTCAACAAGAATTTATCTTCTTAAAAATGTGAATTCACCAATTTACTTTCATGGACTTTCGTCATTGAAAGACGTCAACAAGAATGCAGCTCTTTCCGTTATGAGTCTGTAAAAAAGAAACGAAGTACAATCAAAGTTGAAATTCAACTGAAGTAGGAGCAATAAGAAGTTCCAGCGATATAATAAAGAAATCACAGCAATGTGAATTGAATGCTTGTGATTTCAAAATAACAAGGCTCGATTTCGTGTTATAACCTTATTTGGGCTCAAAATTCCTTTCAATAAAAACTGTATAATTGTTTTATATTCTTATTTTCCAAGGAAAAATAAATTAAAGAGAATATGTCTTGACTTTAAAAAAAATTACTTCGATTTATTTAGGGTATTCCAAAGAGGAGAGTGCATTTTACAATAATTCTAGTTGCAGAGAAAAAATTAAGGTCTTTGGAAGTCAATAAAGGATCTTGATTTCGTTAGATTTCCATGAGTTTTGTTAGGCTTCAAATAAATAAATACACGAAATTTTGGAAATGGATCCGGTAGTTTTAATTCATTTTGCACTCTGCTCACTCTGCCATCCATGGGATGTGTTACATCGCCGGCGATAGCCCTTATTGTGATTTACAATTAAACTTTTAAATCATTTTTCCGTGACCAGTGGTTAAACATTAACATGGAACACTCAAACATTTAAAAGATAGGCTAAAAAGGCATTAAATAGTAAGCAGGTGAAGGTGACACCTAACCCCATACTAGATTCTTTAGTATTCCACACCACATGAAATATTGTATTTAAGCTACCTATTTCTGAGTCCGTGATAGTTACACTAAAAGAGTGTTCAAATGCATATGAGATTTAAAAACCAATATATTATTTGAAAATAATGTTAAAAGTATGGGAAAAGATTTTCTCTCTGATTACGTTTCGAAACATTCAAGAATTTATAATCTACTTCGGTAGTATGATTAGGACCTAAAAGCATGAGATTTTCCCAGTTAAAAATTTTTCAGATACTGTCTGTTCAAATTAGCTTAAATCAACGCTTCATTCTGAATTCTCGACAGAATTAACCAACACATCAAAGATGGGATTTTTTGAGGAATTTTCCTAAAATTCGAAAGTTTCTTCTTTGTATTTAAGAAAAATGTAACTAATTATATCATTTCAGAAAATAACTAATATACAGAATGAATACATCTGACATCTCAAGAACAATGAATTCCTCCAACAAATTATTGACCTAATGGTACACTGCAATCTTTATTACACCCGAAATAATAAAAGTGGAGACTCTTTTTTACACTTCTGCTGCATTCAATCACAAGACGATAAATTATTTATAAAGTAAGAATGAAGAAATATATCGTCTGAAAATCGTAACAGAACACTCAAATTTACATATGGAATCGATACGCAGTAGAAGACAATCTCTCATGTTGTTGGACAAGTGCTTTTGCTCGAGTAGAAGGAAGAAGAGTAATTTCTTTGGTCATTCTTCTGTACAGTTGCTTTATTTTAATTTTTCTCTATTTTACTATAGATGAGTTTTATTCTAACGCTAAAGAATTTCAGTTCGCTAGACAATCTGAACACAGTATAGGATTACAATTAGTTTTTTATGAGTGGAAATATGATAGAATGAAATGAGAGTGAAAGAAAAGCATTGCCATTAAAAAATTATCTCTGGTTGAAAATTACGTATGTAAAATTTATGGAAAAGTATATGATATATAAATGCGCATTGCTATATATAAAAGGAAAGAGCTACTGATAAAAATGAATGAGTTCTAATAAAAATGATTTTAAATAATTCATTGATTTAAAAGTACATCTGAAAATTTTGTAGAAAGTATAGATGTTACTGATATGTTCCAGCCTTCTAAATACATGTTAGGATTCACTAGTAGATTGAATAAGTATTCGAAAATATGTTCTTTCAAATGAAGGCTCGAAAGTACAGCAACGAAGATGTATGGAAGAAAAGAAGTGAGGGAGAATTATTTTCAAAAGCATTTATATTATTTCTAATCAAATCCGTCTTTACGTTCAATCATAAGTAATGGGGGAATGGCATTCCACAACTTGATTTAACAAATAGATTTCAAAATTCTATCATTTAATTCAGTGTTCTATGCGTCTGATCTAGGAAAATAAGAGATACTTTCAGGCTTTGTAAAACTATAAATCTAGAAGCACTTCTTTTTACAAATGCCTAATTTCTATTAATGGTTAAAATTTTTTAACTTAAATTTTAAACAAATGATGCGCACTAACATAAACTAAATATATTTTATGTCAGAAATCGGTAAAAAATCCTATCCATAAATAACTTATTCGTTGCTGTAGCTTTTGTATTAGTTAAGAAAAAAGGATGTTGACAATAGAAATATTGTATCGGATGTTGAGTTTATTAAAAATATTGCCAACAATGCGTTTCTGTAGACGATAGAATGCTTCCATGTAAAAAAATTCTCTTCTTATATTAATTCTTCTGGTGTTCGCTTATTTAACAACTACCGAAAAAATGAAGTTATCCAATGTGAATAAACAAAAAAGCTTGGAG